TAGAAGCCCATCTTGAGGTCTCAGGTCGTGCTGATGAGCTCCAGAATGCCTGATGGAAAAGCGAAAGGCTGTCAGCAGGCAGCCCTGCCCCCCTGCCTCCCCGCGAGCCCCACCGAGTCCTCTAAGTGAGCTGACCTTTGGATCTGGGTCTGGATAAGTGGTCTAAATGGCCTGTGTGCCTACACCTTGTCTCTTGCAGCACTAGCCCTGTAGAAAAGTGGCTTTAATGAGAACTTCACTTTCATTTTCTCAGAATTATTTTGAGGAAAAGAAAAGCAGTAGGAAAAATTGAATGATATTTCAAAGTGAATAAACAGAAGGGAGCCTGTGCCTGCCTGGCCACACACTGACTCACAGCCGTGGGAAACACAGTCCATTTTGTACCTCCTTTTGTTGCCTCTCTTCCCTCAAGGAGGCCGGGAAGACAAACAAGCGATCTTAGAGCTTCATAGGGCAAAAGCATTTATTTCTGTTTTTATGGATATAGGATTTTTTAATGTGAAATAAAAGGTAACAGCATGCAGGGCTGTGGTTGTGGCTCAGCAGTAGAGCACTTGCCTAGCACATATAAGGCCCTGGGTTCAATCCTCAGCACCACATAAAAATAAATAAATGTATAATATATATATATATATATATATATATAATGTTTTTTAAAAAGGTAAGTAACTGCATGCATTGGACTGAAATTCAAATTCCCAGCAAAATGATGCTACTACATATTGGTACATGTAGCAATCACGATACCATATTCAAGCATTTGTTTGCCTAACTAAGACATCCCTAAAGGGATTCTTAGCATGGCATTATCTCCTGCTGCAATGCCTCTTTATGATGCCCCTTTTGCTGCCTCCATTGCTTCATGAGTGTGTCTCCTTCCAGCCCAATAGTCCACTGAAGGCCCCCTGTGCCTCGCCCACTTCATAACAGCTCTCTCACAAGTGCCTGGCACAGAGCTAACACTTTAAAAACACTGGGGAAAAGGAAAACCAGACATGAGGGACTACTCAGGATATTACCCACCCAGAAAATTCCAAAGTACCAGAGATTAAAGTGGTGAACAGGATAGAAAAGCCCCCTCCTCCCTCATGGGGCTTACAGTCCATCAGACCACAAACAAGCCACACCTGGAATATCAGGTGGCAACAAGTGGCAGGAAGCCAAACAAACCTGAACAAGGGGACAGAGCAATGGGTGTTGATATCAGACACACAGATTGTGGCGATGATGGCGAGTCTCTTGGAAGAATGCAGGAATCTCCTCTTCTTCCCTGGTCTCAGAGAGGCCAGAGGCATGCCATGATGCAGATAAGTGAATAGTCTCTTAATGTATAACCATGCATGCAGTGAGACAGTTGCTGTAGACAGATAACAGCAAAAAGAAAGCCAAGGAGGATCACCTAGAATGCATTTCATTCAGGGAGATGAAAACAACGGCTTCTCCAGAGATGACCCAAGGACCCACCCATTTGTTGCCTGGGCTCCGTCCGGTTGCCAGGCAGAGAGGGAGAGGATGCCAGGAGTGTTTGCAGATGTGTACTAACATGGTGTGACTTAAATACAGTTCTAGAGGCATTTTTATTCTCCCCTCTACTCATGCTTTCTCTGAAGTGAGGAGCCCTCTGTGAGATCTGTCAGTTAACAACACTCATATGCTTGACATGGCCATCTTGGCTGCCACTGCTGCAGCTGCTGAAATACACCCAGAACCCCGGCAAACTTACTGGGAAAGAAAACACTGACCAAACTACAAATCTTGGCACCCCCTCCATTCCTGTCCTGATCCTAGTTTACTGAATATGATTTAATGGTTGCCAGCTTTGAAAGTGACTTTATGAAGTGACCTCCTGTATCCTTTTTATAACACGAGAGATGTCCGTCAACCAAGTAGCTTCCAAATATTTGTAATATTCTCTGGGACAAAAAAAAAAGGTAGGGTCATGTCTGAGTCTGTCTGAGTCTGCTGAGATTTGGTAGGTCCACACCCTTCAAATGGTAGGTCCTTCTCCCTTGTCATATTTCAAACCTCATGTTCTTCCACAGGGTCGTTCTCCCCTGGAATTGAGTCCCAACTAGTTATAACTTGGCGAAGACATATTGATCCTCTCAGACCCCCAGACACTACTATTTTAGGTAACATACATTATACTGAAGCAGTGTGTTAAGCACAAAGCACACATCCTATATAGCAGGTTAGCAGGTAATGAACCCAACCAGTAACTTGCATTCTCCTTTAAACTGAAGCTTCCTACACACTAGAATTAAGAATCTGGGACTGATGACCAATCAGGGTACTAAGGGAGGTAGGAAGTCAATAAATACAGTTTTGTTTTGTTTTTTTTTCAACAAAAAGTAATTGACTCATTCTGTGTATTTGTAGCCAAAAAATCCTAGAAAACTACATCTGGAAGACATTAAAGGTCAATCAGATCCAACTGTCTTATTTTAAGGACTGTAAAACCACAGAGAGGTCATGAGCATGCTTGAGAGCCCGTGAGCAATCGTGGGCAGCTCAGAAATGAGCATTTGAGTCCAGCCTCTTGTCAAGAGTGGTCAGCACAAGACAGGCCAGGTTCTTGTTCATGCTGTGTGCTCCTGAAGGGAAAGTGGGGCTCGTGGAGAGTCCTGTCTGCCAGGTATGCAGCCGCACTGAAAATCCATTCTGAGGAGAGGTTCCGGCCCAGAAGCATTGGTTCTGTGATGTTAGCTGTACCATTTCTCGGGAGGTGGGACCAGGGAGTCTGCTAAAGCAGGAGCATTGGGCTGCTGTGCAGAGTGGCTGTGGGAGATGAGGATGGTCTGCCACATGGTCCAGCCCTGCACCAGCCCAGTCCTGAGGAAGAGCCACTCAGCACCGAGGAGAGCTCCCACTGCCACTGCGAGGGGCTTTTTGTTCCTGTGGTGCCTGCTCTGTTCCTTCCCACGTTAGTCTCTGGTGCTTTATAGAAAACCCGAAATATGTATACCTGGATGAGTGGCTCTCACTTTGCAAGTATGTGATGCAGCCCGTGCCCCTGCTTATTCTATTAATACCACCTTTCCTCTCCTGACTCACAGTGTGACCTTTAGCAAGGTGATTTTCCTATGCCTCAGTTTCCTCAGTGACAAAGCAGTTAGTAATACGACTCGCAACTCCCCACGTCTTGAAGGTGAGTTTAAAATGATGCTGCTTACACATCACTAGTAACAGGCTCTTATTAATCATCCTCATTGTCAAAGCACTAAATAGAAGGTACTGAAGAGCTCATCCTAGCACTTAAAATATGAAAAGTAAGCAACAGTCCTCTGACCCATCAAACTCTGGTGCACTGATGAGGCAAAGAACATTCTGAGATCTTGACTTGTTATGGGATGACAGCCTTGTGAATCTGTAAAGATTAGAACAGTCGTTCCTTTACCTCCTCTGCACTGTCCTCCTGGGTGATTTCCTTTGATGTCAGCTGTACCCAGAACGAGGAAGTGGCAGCGGCACTAAATGCCACTGTGACCAACAGTAAGGCAGATGAGGCACCTATCTGGCCACCACCAACGGGGCTGCTCACGTCATCTTTCTAAGATCAGGCCACATCTTTCTGACCTTGACTGCATTTCTTAACCAAAAGCATCTGGGGCCAAGGGCACACATTTCCAAGATGTTGAGTGGGTTCACTTTGTGCCCCTGGGAAGGGACGACGTTAACTGTCCCAAGCTTGCCCCATGACTCTAGCCAGCCACACTGAGTGGCCACACACAGGCGCTAGATAGAATGACAGACGGTTGTCCTTATAGATAAGCATGCTAGTTGAGTTTTGATAATAAGTGGAAGAATTTAACATGTCTCTGTTGGCCTGCATTATAGCACAACAGAGGTTTCCCCTAAGAAAAATTGCCTCCTGTGTTCCCCCCACTTTATCGTAGGTGGACTATGTCCACACAAGGAAAGAAATCTAGAAGACCAATTGAAAAATGCAAACAAGCATTTCTTATTTCTAGCTGCACATCTATCTGCTTCTGTAGAGATCAGAAAACCAAAGACAGGATAGCTGAGAATTCTCTGACTCACCAAAATTACTGCCCCTCGGTAATTACTTTTTTAACTATGAATTATTAACCAAAATAAATGCCTCTCTCCAAGGGTATCAGTTAGTTCAAATTAAGTTGAAATTTCCATCTTAAAAAGATAGAGCCCCAAGCAGCCCGCCCACAGCATAGTTTCATTTAAAAACTCTGAATTCTTATTTATGCTGTAGACTTGGTTGGAAATCATAGAAGCCTGGATCCACTCTCTCCATTACACTCGAGCCACCCACCCACATAGACAGATGTATCCACAAATAATGACTGAAGTACATAGTGTTAGAGTTAGTGAGGTGTAAATTATTGACCGCGCCATTTGTGATTAATAAAGCATGAAGCGTATGTTGTTCTGAAGCATTTTAATCAAGCTTCTGTACAGCCCGAAAATCAGGATGTCAGAGAAAGATGCATGCAATCTGAAGGTGAAATTCAAACTAGTAAGATGGTGCTAGTCTCCCATGTCGAGTCCATCCACAGGGGAACATGGTGGAATGTAGGAGAGGACAGTCCAAGACAAATTCCATCTGTAGCAAGTGAGAGTGCCTGCTTCCTGCTCTAACAAGTAAGCCTGAAAACGCCTTGATTCCAAGCTATTAAAGATTCCTTGTCCAGGTAATGAAAATCTCATCTTCCTCATTGCCTTTTCTTATGTGTCCTGCGCTTAAGTTTTTGCGTCATTTAGGGGCCCCTGCTGCAGTGCCTGGTTTCACTGATAGAGAACCTGTTCTAGCCATTGATTGCTGGGGGTAACTTTGCATTCAACAGAAAAGAAGAGCAGCTTACCAGGAAGACAGGTCTTCCAAAGTGTCTTTCCTCTTAAGAAAGGAGGGTGGTTCCGATAGAATGACATTATTCAGGCGAGTTCTCACCTTTAGTGTGTCTCCTGACCCCGAGCCCAGAGCCTGGGGGCTGATGCAGGTGGTGCTGTCCTTCCAGCTGGGAAGAATGACTTCTTGCAGCGGCAGCGGCTGTGGCTCCACACAGGTGCAGGCTGCTCCCGAGGGCGGCCACCAGCGCTACGGAGTCCGGTCCTACCTGCACCAGTTTTACGAAGACTGCACCGCCTCCATCTGGGAGTACGAGGATGACTTCCAGATCCAGAGGTCACCCAGCCCGTGGAGCTCTGTATTCTGGAAGGTAAGGAAGGAACGTGGGTTTCACTTGGCAACAGGGAGCGTCACACATGGTAAACACTGCGGCTGGGGGAATCGGGAGGTTCAGGGCCCCATGTGTGCCACACTCTCATGACACTAGATAGTTTCCTCCCCTTAGGGAAGGAGAATCTAAGCCCCTGGGCCCAAAGAGGCCCCCAAGTGCAGTGCGACTGTGGCAGTTCACTGACTGAGAAACCACCATAGGCAAAGGACACCCTTCCAGCCCCCCTTACAGACTTGGGTCGTTTGACAAATTGCAGCAATTGTTTAAAAAGGATACAATTAGGTATTTAGAGAAAGCGAATTCTGAGACATGATACAGTGGTCAGAATACCTCTTCCTCACAGGAGGCTCTGGGGAGCCACATTAGACAACCCACACAGTCCTCCGCCACCTCTGCGGGGCACCGACTGCGTGCTGAGAGGGTTCGAAGTACTGGAGATTAGAGTGAGGAACTGGACGAACCCCTGCCCTCAGGAACTGATGGCCTGTCGTGGGAAACAACCAGGGACAGGAAAAGCCCGTGACAGATGTCAGGTAGTGACAAGGGCCGTAAAGGGAACCAGGATGAGCAGGGTGACGGAGGCCGGTGTGTAGTGCGTGGACAGCAGAACGCCTTTCAGAAGAGACGGAACCGGGCGGAGACCAGGGCCAGCCGAGGGAGCAGACCCAAGCTCATCAGGCTGAAGGTGTCCTGTGCTGGGAAACCGCAGGTCCCCAAGCCGTGACAGGAGGAGAGGTCCAGCCTGGCTGGAGTGGAGTGAGAGAAAGGACAGGCGGATCCAGGAAAACAGCAGCACACAGATCCATGTGGGGTCCGCAGATGACAGTGAAGCTTTGGGCTTTTACCTCCGCAAAGCGGGCAGCCCCCTGCAGGCGTGTGCAGCAGATGGCACCGTCTCACCAATATCAGAACCAGATCCTTCCGGCTGCCATATGGAAAATAGAGTATCAGTGGGCAAAGGTGAGCAGCCAGATTACCTCAGCCGTTGTAAAAGCTCCCTGGTGAGAATTGATGGCAGCTTAGACCAGGGTGGGGCCGGTGGAAATGGTGACAGTCAGTCCAAGTTAGCACTAAGTTTGAGAGCAGGCTGTCAGGATGCTGATGGACTGGAAGTGGGGTGTGAGGGCCGCGAGTCGCGCACGACCCAGGACCTGCGTGGTAATGGTGTGTGGCTTACTAGGAGACAAAACACCAGAGAGGTAATGGTGTGTGGAGCGGGCAGGGGGAACCAGGAGGTGCCTATTAGATATCCAAGGAGAGATCCTAATGGCCATTTAAATACACCAAGCCACAGCTCATGGCTTTGGAGTTACTGACACAGAGTGCGTAGAACACAGCCGAGATCACCTCGGAAGAGAACTGGACACAGAGAAGAGGGCACTGGGACAGCCCGATGTTTAGGAAAGGAAAAGAGGAGACATAAACTTGCAATTTCCTGGTGATATAGTATAACAAGCAGCAGTACAGTGTGGTGAGTGTCCGCATGGCTTCCTCCCCCAGACTACAGAAGTTCAAACCCCCGCTCTCCTCTCCCACAGCCCTGTGACTTTGGGCCTCCCAACAGTAACTCTCGAAATACCCACCACAGAAACATTGTGAGAATTAAGCAAGATAATATTTACAAAGAGCTTAAAACAATGACTGATTCACACCCAATTATCATTTGCTAGACTAGTTACTTCTAGATGCTAATCTAGAACACTGAGTTCTTAAATGGAAATAAAACTGGAAATCTATTTAATACGTACACATTGGGCAGCATAGTTGTTAACATGGTTTACCCAAGACCGGTGCTAATTCAGACTCATGCTATGGTCACATGCTCTGCATTAGAATTAGTCAAGTCAGCATCCTTGCCCTCTAGAAATAGCCCCTCCAATGAATTCTCCCTGGCCTGGACCAATGAAATACCCAGCCATGCTCACCATGTCTCATATTTACTCAGATAAAACCAGGTGGTTGCATGGTTACTTTCTGCTCCTCTCTCCATCCCTATAGCTACAGAGGAGAGAGGGAGAGAGACCTATTGTGCCAATAGCTTTATATCTACTGATATACAGGTTATTACAAGCATTCATGTACACCCAAAGCAGGCCAAGTTCGTAGTCTCATAGTTATTTATGTTCCTGCAAAGTCCAAGTCCTAGATTCGTATCCTAATCATCAAACACTAGAAGCCTCACGTCAACCTGCATGACCTGAGGATTCACTGTCTTAGAGCCCTAATCTGTACCAAGGGAGTAAGCCAACTGTTCTTGAGCTGCTCCGTGGGAAGGCGAGTGAATTCACTTCGGTGTTTATGAAGTGCTCTGTGCCAATGCAGAGAAAGGTACCAGTCATGCACCTGTTTCTGTTATGTGCCTTTTCAGTGTTGTTGGGTTCTTTTTGCATTTCAAGTTGCATCTGTAGGCAGTTCAAGTGCTGGTGTCCCCTCTTGACCCTTCATGTTCCCTCACTGGGGCTGTGCTCGTAGTACCCCAACAGGGCTCCGTGCTTGAGCTCCCGAGCAACAGGCAGCATGGAGGGGTTTCTCGAGGACACAGATTTCAGCAGGTCTGAGTCAGAGTGTTGCCCTATCATAGGATCTACATAACATCTCCCTCACAGTGCTACTCTTCCTTTCTTTCTAGACTACCTGGTGGGCTCTTAGATTATACAAGATGCATTCTTCACCTCCGAATAAGACTCAGCCCCTGACCTCAGGGAGCCCACGGTCAGGCAGGGGAAGTAGACATGGGCCCACACTGTTACCGTGCAATGTGCTAAATGCTCCTGTAGAAGCAGTCATGGCACTTCCTGGGAACACAGGGTTCAGGGAGCAGGGAGGAGTATGTATCTGTTCCAGCCTGGAGAAGTGGTCCCACCCACAAAGGGGCCCACCCATGTGCAAGCAGGAGAGGGGCAGCCCAGGAGGAAGAAGTGCATATGCATTTCTGAGCTGGGAGAGGTGGTAGCATGACCCAGACTCTGCAGACAGTGTGGTCCAGGTGGAGTAAACATGTACAAGTTCAGGGAGAGGGTCACATGTGAACCGAAAATGCACGCAATGAGCAGATCACAGAAGTCTATGAAAGATGTGCAAGAAATCTTCCCCAGGACCTCTAGGCTTGAGGGAGGCAAGAAAATAATGAATTTGGGTTTTCCTGGGAGTGGAGGGAATATCTCACAACCTGGTATAAACACACACACACACACACACACACACACACACACAGAATGTAGCATCCTCTGGGCCTTGGAATCCTAGGTTACATGGGCTGCAGCAGCTGCTGTGGTTTACCCAATGCCTATGGCTTCTTCCATCTTTAAAAGTCCACATGATGTGGTCCCATCTGTCCTCTGCCACTTGCTGCCGCCCAAGGGTCAATCAGGTGGAAAGTTGTTCTGATCCTTGCATTTGACCTTGAGGAAGGCTGTTGCCACTGGATTGTCTGTGCAGCACACAGCCCAGGATGCAGGCATTATCCAGTCTTCGCGCTCCTCACCTCAAGGTTAACCTTCTACCTTCTCCTCAGCCTGTCTCGGAAATTGTTCAGAGGGCACTCGACACCACGTGCCTCCTCCATAGCCTTACTAAGGTGGAGGTGGCTCTGTCCCCTCTCTTCCCGCCCTGGACCCCAGTTAAGCTCCTCCTCTCAGCTAATTCCTCTGAGCTACATCAGAATTTAAACTTAGATTTCTCTTCAAAGTTCTGGTGGATATTAAAGAGTTGGCTCGGGAGCTGTAGGAGACTATTCAGAGAAACCATGTGACATAGTTTTTGTTTAAAAAGACTTCTCAGATGACACTAGAACGATGGTCAAGGTCGGTTTTGACTAGCAGTGGAGATGAGGCTGCTGCTGTGAACATCCAGGCCAGAGGTGATAATGGCTTCTGCCCCCAGAGCAGCCATGTGGAGGGGAGAGAGAAGGTTCATGAGGTTTTTATGAGGTAAGATCAATATGAGGCGGACTCTGTTGGCTGTGAATGTGAGGAAGTTCTCTGGGAGTGGGCAGAGGGGAGGAAGACAAAGAAATGGGAACAAGCTGGGCTTGAAGAACCTTTGGGACATTTTTCTATGACTCATGCTATTTGGAAACAGGGTATCAGAACTACATCTAGAAATGTGGTCCAGAGCTCAGGACAGCAGTTCAGATGGACTTGGAGGTTTGGAAGTCTTTGATAAGAAGTAGAAGCTAAAACCACAGCCTTAGACCAACCCTAGTGAGAACATATTGAAAAAGAGGTGGGGGTCAAGGGCGGAGCCCTGGGACGGCAGTAATGGGCAGAGGGCTGAAGCGAGTTGTTATGCGGAGGGCGTGTCAGAGGTGACTGGGGGGGGGTCTCAAGAGGGGCTAAGGGTGTAATATCAAAGGCTGGAGAACATGCAAGTGAGATGCGGAAAGAAAAGTCACATTGGCTTTGATAATCGGGAGGTCATCAGTGACCAGAGAGAAGGCGGTTCTGAGGTCAGCATGGAGGACTAAGAATGGCAGTCAAGAGTAGGAATGACCCCAAGCAATGGGACGCGGGCTCCCGAACACACTGTGAAGACGGAAGCTATTGGATGTGCTTATAGTGTGCTGGAGGAAAAAAGTCTTGGGGTGGGGGCTGGGGGGGGAGACCCCAATGGCCAGGTGGAGGCGACATGGGGAGACCCCAATGGCCAGGTGGAGGGGACGTGGGGAGACCCCAATGGCCAGGTGGAGGGACC